AGGCGGGTCCCAGTCTCCAATTCCCCAACAAAAGGAGGGGCGGGCACGTGAGGGTTATGGGAGTGACAACACCCATTTCAGCAGCCTGGTAAACGCGGGCAGCTTCCTTACCACCTCTGCAGCTCAGGTTCTACAGGCGTCCGGCAGAAGGACAGCACCTGCCCAGCTGGTGGCACCTGCCCGGCGTGACCCCCGGCAGGACGGCTGGCCACAGCAACCTGCAGGCCACACCAGCGACACCTTGCAGGACACATGTCAGGAGCCTGCAAGCAGCAGTGCAAGCAGTTCCCCATCCAGCCCAGGAGGGCTCAGGTGTGCCAGGAACAAAGCGCAGGTCTTTAGAGCTTTTGTGGGCACGTGGGGCTGGCGTGCACAGGGCACTGGGGTGGGCTACCGAGGGCCCACCTGGTCTCAGTCCCCCACAGACCCTAACTCACTGGAGGCAGCTGGGAAGTGGCTGTGTCCGAGGGGTGCAGGTCAAAAGGCTCGAGCTCATTACAGGGCAAACAAGCTTCCCACTGACTCAACCCTGCACGTAATGATGCGAGTGTATCTGTACCTCACCAGCCATCCTGCTGAGACCCAAGATAAAACAAAAATCTACATCACCATCGTCCTAACACCAGGGACACTGCGCACAGCTGACCCCTAGCATGTTTTTAGAGGCTGTAAATCACACGGATGGAGATGGCTCCTCTTTCTCCATCAGAGCAACTGGTGGATTTGAACCAGCACACCTTACGGCCAAGCCGCCAGTGACCACTGGACAGGGGAGAACCGCCTGGTGGGGTTTCCAAGGCTGCGATCTTCATGGAAGCAGAAACACAGACGCATATGTAATATGATATGCACAAACACACACACAGGACCGCGTGTGCACGGAGACACTGAGGTGAGGGAGTATCATTCCTAACAGTGTGATGTACGTGAGTCCGCCAGGATCAAGGGGATGGACGCTCTCCTCCCGGGTGATCTACTGTCTCTGGAAACCTGCTGAAGGGTCGGCTATGATGAAAGCACACAACAACAACAAGACATAAGCAAACTATGTCGTTGTTGTTATGTGCCATAGAGTTGCTTGGGACTCATAGCGACGCTATGTGCAAGAGCTCTATACACTCTTCTATCCTGTGCCAACCTAGCCATCTCAAACACACTTTTTCCCACCTCTCCAGTCACAGAATCGCTCCATCTCATCAAAGGTCTTTCTCTCCTTCGCCGCCCCTCCACTCTGCCAAACATGATGTCCCTCTCCAAGGACCAGTCCCTCCTTGCAACATGCCCAAAGTATGTCAGACAAAGCTTCAGAATCCTTGACTCCAAGGAGTAGCCAGGACAAACCTGTTTATTCTCCTAGCAGTCCATGGTATATTCAACACTCTTCTCCAGCACCACAGCTCAAAGGCATCAATTCTCTTTCTACCAACCCTATTCACTGTCCAACTCTCCGATGCATAGCACATATTTGCGAAGACTATAGCCTGGATCAGGTGCACCTTATTCTCCAGTCTGACATCGTTGCTCTTCAGTACTCTTGAGAGGTCCCTCACAGCTGACTTTCCCAATGCAATTCGTCTCTTGATTTCCTGGCTGCTGTTACCAAGAGTGTTGACTGTGGAGTCAAGTAAATTAAAACTGTTAACTATCTCAATCTCTTCACCATCCATAATGATGCTGCCAATTGGCCCAGTGGTGAGAATCTTTGTTTTCTTGATATTGAGCTTCAATCCATATTGAAGATTATAGTCCTTGACCTTCTGCAGCAAGCGCTTCAGGTCCTCCTCAGTTTCAGCAAGCAGGGTTGTGTCATCTGTATAACGGAGGTTGTTGATGATTCTTCCACCAATCCTGATGCCACATTCCTCTTCAAAAATTAGAAACCACAAGAGCTGTTTAACCTCACCTGTGTTATACACATACCACTATCAGACAAGGAAGAAATAAACAGGTTCTGATTCTCAATACTGGCAACAGTATAGAGAAATGGTTAAAAAAAATTTTTTTTAAAAAAGCATTACTATCGAGTCAGAACCGACTCACAGCTGCCCCTCCACTGGGCCCCACAGCTATCAATACGTGGGGAGACACTGCCCATCTTTCTCCTGCGTAGCCGCTGGTGGTGCCACGCTGCCTGTGGGTGTGCACCCCGACTGCCGCCAGGCTACATGCCAGGCAACTCCCAGGGCTCCCCGGGGCAATGGTAAATCCCACAAAAGGAGACTGATGGGATAAAGCTGAGAAAATATTCTCGTGGACAATTAGTGGACATTTTGGACACTGTTCCTGAAAGCATCTTTTGAACCAGTAATTCACCTGAGAACGTGAGCTATGAATACCCTGTACATAGTCCTGCTGTACAGACACAGAGATGGTCTGTCTCTAGACTATCATGTAAACAGAAGGGAACTGGAAAGACCAGTGCCTGCTGGCAGGACAGTGTTTAACTAAACGGAGTCTCCATACTCTGGAAGACAACACAGCAGTTCACAGGAACAAAGCCAACCCACTGTGGGCACAGAACACTGAGAAATACCTCAGCAATGATAACACCAAGTCAGCGAAGATGATCACATTAAACTCAGAAACAGGTAAAACACAGATCTAACTCTGCATATGCCTGAGTGTAAACAGACTTTTAAAACATCTGTGAGGGCAATGCCTGGGAATGACCATGTGAAACACAATGTGAATGAAGGCATGTGTGAAAATACATTGTATAAGAACAGAGAGAAAAAACCTTACAAAAGGATACAGAAAAAACAAACACATCTGTAAGGAGGTATATCCAACAACTAAGAAGGGTTCCCCGGATAAAGGTTATGGAATGTAAAACAGGGCTTCAATCTTCATTGTAGATAATGCATATGTTTAGATTTTTTTCTTTATTGTGATTGTAAATATTATGTATTAGTTACACTGTAATTTAACAGGGGGCAAATTCATCCACTTCAACTAAAAGCAATACACCTAACATGCACCAAAGGAACTCAGCTAGCTTTGAAGCAAAGTTTGCTATTTGCTCAAGGACAACAAAATCAACTAACTATAACAGCAAATACAAGTTGTTTAGGGAAGCTCTGGGGACACAGTCCAGGGAGCTGCACTGAGTGCTCTGGGGGTTCCAATGTCCCAGCTGCTCCTTGACAAATCTCCTCTTGTGTGATTCACAGCCTTGAAACCCAGGTCAGGCTCAGCTACGAGGCAGGACTGACCTCGGGGCAAGGAGGGACAGAGGGAGACAGAAGAAGTTGCTTGTTCTTGGTACTGATAGGTGCCACAGAGGTAAGTACGACCCACAGAGACCCTGTGCACAACAGACCTGAAACCTGTCCTGTCCTGTGCCGTCCCCGTCACCTCAGACACACTCGAGCCCACTGCTGCTGTCACTGTGTCCAGCCACGTGTTGGGAGTCTTCCCCTCTTTCGCTGTCCCTCCATCTTTCTAAGCCTGTCTGTCCTCTCCAAGGAAGAGCCTCTCCTAATAACATCAACAAAACACTGTATACAAGTTATTTTTCCAAACCGTAAAGATAAATAATATCAAAATACTATAGTTGCTGCTGTTGTTGTTATGTGCCATCGAGTTGCTTATGACTCATAGCGACCCTATGTACAACAGCCCTAAACTCTGCTCTGTCCTGTGCCAATCGCACTGTCTCTGACACTCCCATCCCGCTTATCCCGGTCACTGAATCAATCCACCTCATAGTAGAGGGTCTTCCCCTCCTGCGCCGTCCCTCCACCCTCGCAAGCATGATGTCCTTCTCCAAGAACCGGTCTCTCCTCACAACATGTTCAAAGTATGTTAGACAGAGCCTCAGAATCCTTGCCTCCAAGGAGCCACCCGGTTTAACCCTTTCCAGGATGAATCTGTTTGTTTTCCTAGCAGTCCATGGTATTCTCAATACTCTTCTCCAGCATCACAGCTCAAAGGCATCAATTCTCTTTCTGTCCTCCTTAGTCACTGTCCAACTCTCTGATGTATAACAAGTGATAGCAAAGACCATGGCCTGTATCAGACTCACCTTAGTCTCCAGAGAGACACCATTGCTCTTCAGTACTTTGGAGTGGTCCCTAACAGCATGGGAAGCTAAATGTCATACCAAATATTGTATCAAAAATCATATGCTCGTTCAGGAATTGAAGGAATTACAAATTTATAAGTTAGGTTTTCTCTTGTGACAGATCACAGAAAAAGAGCTGTTCCCTGCAGACAAGAGACAGCTAGGTCCCCCCTACAGAGGGAGTGTTACTACCTGTGAAATACTTCCTGAGCTAAAGCATTAGGTTGACAAGAGAGAAAAATTTGGCTTCATTTACAAGGAATTCTTTTTATGATTTGCTTCCCCTGATTATCAATAAATACAGAGAGGCGTGGCTTGAGGCCCTCTGAAGAACTGCTGGCCCCCTGTCTTTATGCTCTGTTGTATCTCATTCCTGGCTGGCTGTCTCATTATTAATAATTATAAAAATACTTTACCCTTGGTCTGCAACACTATAGGTTCATGATTAATGGCCAAGTGAGACTGAATAACAGACAGACATTTGCACGCAGTACTATGTAGCACATTTGGACATTATGCAGCTTATATGCAGTCTTCATTAACCCAAAAGCCATGTGACGAGGGAACTCTTGATGAGGACAGCCAAGTTCATTGTTATAGTACACAAACTTGAGGTCACGGCATGGCAAGAGTCAAAAAGGATGAGACAACTGAGCAAAACAATCCAACTTCACACAGCTTTCCAGGCTCGGCAATTCAGACATTTCCCGAACTCAAACTGATTTCTACGCCTATTAGGTGAAATGACCATAGTTTTACAGGGTTTATGGACGTAGCCTTATGTAGCAGACAGCTGGCACCCACTGCTACCAGCAGCGAGCAGAGCCACTGGCTGGAAGGTAAAGAACCCGCAGCAGCCTGCCAGGAGTCACGAGGACAAACATCATCTTTCAACGGAGTCACCACGCACTCTGGCCAGATGTGAGGCGCTTCATACTGAAAAACAACTGTCAAACTTGTGCTTTAGGGCACTCTTGGGGATTCTGTGTAAGCACATGAACTTGACTCCTACTGAGACACAGAGGCAGGGTGGGGGAGAGGGGAGTAAGAACAGCCAGGCCAGGGGCAGAGAGCGCCCTCAGCAAACTGAAGACTTCGGATCCTCCTCAGTTACACGGACACATTGCTTGGTTACACTTTCTAAAAACTCGAGGACTCCAGTCTCCACTCTTCTCCTCAACACTGCGCGTGCGCGCGCACACACACACACACACACACACACACACACACACACATCCTCCCTCAACCCCACATTTTCCCTTTAGGAAGGTGAATTTTCAAGAAAAGCTGTCCACTTTCCTCAGGTCCTTCACTATCATACTTCAGCACACAGCTGTCCAGCTGTGCCACGTCCTGTGGCTGGCAGGGTCTGTGGCGGAGGTTGACCAAGGACAGCCAAGAGAACGCACCTCTCTCCTTGAAAGATGTGTCGCCAGGGTGCTCCTCGAAGGTGGCGATTGTACCCTGGACTGCCAAGAAAATGAACAGGTTCACCCTGGAGAGGGTTAAACCAGGCTGCTCCTTGGAGGCAAGGATTCTGAGGCTTCATCTGACATATTCTGGACATTTTGCAAGGAGGAACCAGTCCTTGGAGAGGGTAGTCATGCTTGGGAGGGTGGAGAGGAAAACACTCTGAGTGACTGGGGTGTGTGTCTGAGACAGTGAGACTGGAATGGGGCAGAGCAAGGTTTAGGGCTGTTGTACAGAGAGTCACTATGAGTCACAAGTGACTCGACGGCACATAACAACAACAACAACGCTGGGTTTATGCTAGAGGGGCCCATCCTTGGAGAAGGATGTCACAACTGGTCAAGCAGAGGGTCACCGACTGCCAGGAATCCCTCTGATGAGCTGGACCAGTGGGTGTGGCCATGGAAGAGAAGAGGCTGTGACGAAGGCACAGGATCAGGCAGGGGTCCTGCTCCTAGACGCGGAGTCGCTGAGTCAGAAACCACTAGGAGGCACATGACAAGGTAAGAGCAAGGAGGCCAGCGCCTTCACACTGCTGAGCGCAGGGGCACCGCGAGGCTCTGGCCTTCCAGACCTCTGTCCACAAGTGTCCACAACTCCATTCCTGACAGCCCTCTCCCGCTATGTCCTCTGCTGCCTTCCTCCTTCCCCGTCCTCTCTCTCAGGTCTCTGCTTGGGGACAGGCCAGCCTGTAAGTGTTCCTGCTCCCCGTGTCCTCGGGGGGCAGTCACCCTGACAACTTCGCTTACCACTGCTGTACTGATGAATGCCAATCTAGTTCTTAATCAAGTCTTTTCTAACTGCCCATCACATTTCATACACGCGTTCCGCAGGCACACACACCAACGTTCAAAACCAGATTTCATCAGCATCGCCTCATAAAACCTGTTCTCCTTCGGGTGTTCCCCAACCCTGTGCATGGAGCCTCACCTACGACCTACCGTCACTCTTGCCTCTTCCTCTCTGGGTGTGACGAACCTGCTTGCTTCTCTCCACCCCATCGTCCTGGGCTTCATGCTCCCAGTGCTCCTAACCGGCCACTTTACATCTGTCCTGCCTTCCTTCAGTTCAGCTTCCACAGCGGCGCTGGAAAGATCTCTCTCAAATTCAAGTTGGAAGCCACAGGTGAACAAGATCCTGCAGTGGTGTCCCAACATCTGAGCCCCACGGGCACCGAACGCTTGACCACTAACAGGAACCTGGCTTCTCTTCACAGGGCTGGATGGACATATACCCAGCTGATTCATGCCAGTGCATGTCCGCTGTACGAGGATAATTAATGGGATTCTCTTCTGTTCCCTAAAGTATTCCAGAGTGGACCAAAACATTCCATGAAATCATTCTATCAACACCTTAGGGACCTTCCTACAGAATATTCTCATCTTCAACTCTACATTCCACCATTACTGGGCTATCATATTTTACAAACAAGTCATGCCTGATGGTACTGGTGGTTGCGGTGTGCCATGAAGTTGGAGCCAACTCACAGCGACCCTCCAGTGGGTTTTCAAAGGTGGTCAGTCACACAGACGGGGCCTGTCCATGCTTCTTCTGTGGAGCAGTTGGGAGATCTGAACTTGTGCCTTTAGGATTGCAGAGCAGCTTCCTACCGTTAGGACACCGGCGCTCCCCCAAGTCATGACTGACTCTCTGTATATCCCTGCCCTCTCACTCCAGCTAACTCAATCCTGTACCTCTTCCAGGACCGGCTCAGGCTGCACCCCCCCCAGCAAGCACTCCACAACACCAAAATGTGTTCTGTTCCTCCGCAGCCGGCCTTAACCACTATGCATCCCTGACAATCTAACCACGCTCGCCTAGAATGGCATGCTGGCCCGTCTGCACTCTTGGCTAAATCCCGAACCAGTGCTCTGCCTTGTTCAGTTCAGCGTCTGATGCTGTGGCCTGTTTACTGGATGACTGTTTCACCCCTCTGCTACTTAGTACCGCGTCTGTTACCTCGTGTTGTTAGGTGCCACTGAGTCAGTATGGTTTATGCTGACCCTATGGACAGATGTGGACCTGTCCTGTCCTGTGCCATCCTCACTATCTCAAGCCCATTGCTACAGTCACTGTGGCAACCCACCTGGGTGAGGGTCTTCATCTCCTTTACCCACCCTCCACCTTTCTAAGCATCATGTTCCTCTCCAAGGCACAGCCTCTCCTAGCAACATGCCAAAAGTACGTGAGATGAAGCTTCATCATTTTTGCCTCCAGGAGCACTCTGGCTGCACCTTCTCCAAGACAAAGTTGTTTGACAGTCCATGGGATCTCCAGCACTCTTTTCCAAGCCCACAACTCAAAGGCATTAATTCTTCCGTCATTGCTGTGGTTATGTGCCATTGAGTCACTTGCGTTTCATAGCGACCCTATGTACAAGAACCCTAAACTCTATTCTGTGCCAACCTCGCCGTCTCAAACACACTCATTCCCACCACTCCACTCCTCACAGAATCGATCCAACTCATCGAAGGTCTTCCTCTCCTGCGCCATCCCTCCACTCTCCCAAACATGATGTCCTTCTCCAAGGACCAGTCCCTCCTTGCAACATGCCCAAAGTATGTCAGATGAAGCTTCAGAATCCTTGACTCCAGGAAACATTCTGGCTTTACCCTCTCCAGGACAAATCTGTTTGTGCTCCTAGCAGTCCATAGTATATTCAACACTCTTCTCCAGCACCACAGCTCAAAGGCATCAATCATCTTTCTATCACTAGTCACTGTCTAAGTCTCCGATGCATAGCATGTAATTGCGAAGACTGGAAGGCTATAGCCTGGATCAGGCCATAGGAATTTTATTATTCAATTTAATGAATTCACTATCGTTACCAAAAATTCTAATCTTGCTAGTTCAGTTTTCAAGGTATATAAAGTAGCTTTCTTGGCAATACTTGAACATGTTTATAACTTTATTTTGAAGAAAAACATCACTCCTTATCAATCATGCTCTTTTAAAAATTACTCTTTTTCTAAATCTAGAGCCTGATCTGGGGGGAAGAATTTTAGGGTTTTATGTTTACAGTCACCAGAGGCAATCTTGAAAGTCCGTTCAGTGGGGACATGAGGCAGGGGTAGTGAAGGCAGACAGGTGACGTGCATCGTTTCCTCCACCAAACATGCAGCAGCCATCCTGCCGGCGAGCACTGCCCAGCACTGACTGCTCTTGGTAGATGGTACAGGCAAAGAAAAGCGTGCAACAGGCATCCGTCTTCCCTGGAAGCCTTTGTTTCAGAGGAGGCGTGTCCTCATGCCCTCGGCCACAAGTGAATGGCCTTCAAGAACAGACACTTCTTCACAATTCTGAAAGAACTCTGGTGGACTGGTGGGTAAGGAGTTCACTGCTAAGACAAAGGCAGGAGGTTCAAAACCACCAGGTGGGGAAAAAAGGCTAAAGGAAAGATGGGCAATGCCTTTGTGCATGACTTACTGCCTCTGAACCCGCTTGGTTCTGACCGTATAGGTAGGTGTTACTACTTGGCCGTGCTGACTCATTCTGAGTCTCAGAGCAGGACTGTCCACATCTCCCTCCTGGTCCCTAGTGAGGTCCCTGCTGGCGGTGCTCCTCGCTTCCCTTGCTGCTTGTAGAAGCATCGAGCTGGCCTTTCTCCTCATCTGCACTCTCCCTTCAAAGGCACCATTCAGGAGGGCCTGGGGCTAGCACCCACCCTGCTCCATTGAGAACATCCTCCAAGGCTGATTCACAAGCTGGATCACATGCACCAGGCAGGAGTCAGGATTCAACCCCGCTTTGAGGACACAGTTTAAGCCCTAATGAGAAGACAGCCGGGAAGTCCACAAGGTGTCGTGGGCTGGGCTGTGGTGAGTACCATTCAATACAGTGATTACAGGACAGGGCAGTGACTGGGTAGGGGTGGTGACTTAACACAAGGTGGTTGAAGAAAGGTGACCCTGAGGTTTATCAGCTGAGAACTGAAGAATGAGAGTGAGCCAGGGAGGACAAGGGTAGGGACAGGACGAGGGGCTACGCACAGCCTAGAGAGAGCCAAAGCAGAGGCCAGGTGAGGGTGTGAGGCCAGGTGAGGGTGTAGAGGCCAGGTGAGGGTGCAGAGGCCAGGTAAGGGTGCAGAGGCCAGGTAAGGGTGCAGAGGCCAGGTGAGGGGTAGAGGCCGCATAAGGGATACAGAGGCCAGATAAGGGGTACAAAGGCCAGGTAGGGGTACAAAAGCCAGGTAAGGGGTATAAAGGCGGCCAGTTAAGGGGTGCAAAGGTCCAGTAAAGGTGCTAACTATAAAATCACAGGGCTGAGCCTGTTCCTTTCAGGTGTAAAGCAGGCCAGGCTCTGGATCGGAGCTGTTTGGTCAAACACTAGTCAAGCTGTCACGGAGAGCTTTGCTGTTTTCATTGTTATGTGCCATCGAGTCAATTATAACTCACAGCAGCCTTGTGAAGGATGGCTCTGAACATCACCCTATCCTGAGCTGACCTCTCAAACACCTGTGACCCTGCCGCCACAGTGACCCCGCCACCAGTGACCGTGCCAATCCATCTCCTCCAGGGTCCCCTCCTGTGCAGACTCTCCCTCTTTCCAAGCAAGGAATCCTCCTCCAAGGACTGGCCCCTCCTCACAGGAGTTTCCCATCTTCATCTCCAAGGAACTTCCTAGTTTCACTTTCTCTAGGACAGACCTCTTTGTTTTGTTGACAGTTCATGTTAGTGTCTGTTGTTGTTATGTGCCATCGAGTCACTTGTCACTCAAAGTGACCCTGTGTACAACAGCTCCGAACCCTGCCCTATCCTGAGTCAATCTCACTGTCTCTGACACACCTACTCCATTACCCCAGTCACTGAGTCAATGCATCTCATCCAGGGTCTTCCTCTCCTGCACTACCCCTCCACCCTCCTAAGCATGACGTTCCTCTCCAAGAATTGTTCCCTCCCTGCAACATGTCCAAAGTATGTCAGATGTAGCTTCAGAATCCTTGACTCAAGGAGCAGCCTGGTTTCACCCTCTCTAGGTTGAACCTGCTAATTCTTTTAGC